GAAAGCTATGATTCATTTTTGACCATGATACCATAAAAAGAATTATAAACAGCATAGAGAATCTTCACATGAGTTGTGTCTTCTTGTACCTAATGTAGTTGTTCGAATAGCAGAATCGCTAAGTAAGCCTGCTTATCCTGCAAATGAATGACCACGATGAAAAATATGCCGTATCTTCAAAGCCGAGACGAAATTGCATTTGCGAAGAGATAGACAGTCCTCCCTAGTAGTATCATCTAGTATAGATTCAATTGTTGCTTACTCTAGTACTTGCAAGGTGGCACCAGGATGGACGTTGTTGTTTTCTGTGACAGGCAGGTGGCGCGAGTCGAGTGGGGTTGTAGAGCAGCGTCGGTCATGTGAGAATGATCCGGGGGAGTGGTGCGAATGTGAAATGGTATCCGGAAGGGAGTCAATGTCAATAGTCGGTCTACCGATTACAAGCTCCATTGATGCAGACGTTCATCTTGCCTGAGTAGAAGATATCTGTACCTCTTCACATGAAGCGTGCCTCTGCTCTTCCACGAATGGCGATATGCCGAGAGTGGAGACCCACGAGGAGCGACTCTTACCCCGTCCCCCGAGGAGTTGTGATGATGAAAAACATGTGACTTCGCGATCGCAAGGAGTTAAACGAGGACGGAGTAGTGCCTCCCTTCCCTGTCATCAACTTGTAGTAGAAGCATTTTCTTTCGTTTGATTCTCCGAGGAGCCGAGCTTCGTCGAGGATTTGTGAAGACATAACTTTGCGCCGGTCGTGTATTTCTTTGATTGTTTTTAAGCAAATAAGAAGATGAGTTCCTTCCTTCCGCATTCCATCGCCGGTCGGCGAAAGAAGGACGGCGACCTACCATGCGCTCCCGCTGTACCTCGGTCCACGCGACCGATTGCAGGTTTCAAAACACCTGCTGCAACAGCACAGATAGCCAGTAGTGCAACTCCAGCCGCTGCTAGCAGCTCTCTAGCAGTAGCAAAGACGAAAACTCACTATCCATTAGCTGGAGCAAGCAAACTAAAAACAACAACGGATGCCACACCTGCAACTACAACTGCAAAAGCCGCCTCTACTGTTGAGGCAACTCCGACGCCTATTGCGCCATCCGCTCGCACAGCCTTAAAGATACCTTTGGGCAGTACTACGACAAGCATATCTTCGACAACTACCTTAGGACAGGCAAAGGTAGTTCCGAGTTATATGCGGCCTAGGCAGAAAAACAGTGGCTTCGGTAACTTTCGGCGGAATCAATCGAGACTGAAAGGGAATGAAGATTTATGGAATAAGCAGGATCTCGTTAACACAGCGGCCATGATATTGATATTTTTCCTACTAGATCTTCTTGCGTAAATTAAAATATGAGAAATTTTCTTTTATAGTTCCGAAGGAACGGCGCGTCCTCACCCCTTACCCTTACTAAAAACATCCCCTACCCTTCATAAATCGAGCACGGACTGGGCGACACCAGTAGTTCCGCCATTTTTCAGGCCGCAGAGCGATTTAGCCAGGAAATGCAGGCCATTGGCGACGCTTTTAAAGGGTATGCATCACGGCGAAAGGCGCTCAACGAAGTGTGCAAGGAAAAGAAAAGCCTTTACGTACAGAAGATGGACCGGGAGAAGACAAAAAGCACTGTCAAGGAATATATCGACACGGATCATGCAAGTACTACTCTATTTCTGGTAGCATCTCCTAGTACTCAAAGCGTCATGTCAAAATAAAATGAATATTCTCAATCATGCCGCGATTGACTTACTGATAAACTTCATCTTGGTTTATTTCATGATCAAGTGAGACCATCATAATCAATAAACCTCCACAATCACGACACCCCTTCTACCCCAGGACCCGACACCCTCGCCGACGACCCACGTGAAGCTGATTGTGCTAGGGAATTGGAAATCTTTAGACGGGATCTCGACAGCTTTGTGGAAAATGCCAAAGCGTGCGCTTCTCATCAGGAGTTTGGTGCGAGTAAAAAGAGTGAGAATTTTCTTTTCTCAGTTTGGGCTTCGGAAGTGGGCGTCGGGGATTTGTGGAGTCCCTGTGCCTGTTCAGTGAATTGCTTTGATGACAGGATAGAATACAAAGTCGCGAAACATCCAGAGGAAGGATTGGTACAACTATCACGAAGCTGCTAGATCATCTGATCTGATGAAACAAAGCCAAGGAGTCTCCACATGACATGCAATTATGACCTGTCCTCAATCAATATGTTCAAGTAAGTAATATACTAGCTTGGAGCGTCCGATAACATCCCTCCCACTAGGATCCCCCTCCTCCCCAAAATAAGAAACCAAACAAGGCAAAGATGTAAGCGATGCGCGTTCTCAAATTTCGAAAATTTTCCACGTTTTGCCATCGTTTGAGGATTGGGCCTCGTGCGTTTGAAGTCAAGGGCTAAGGTCCCGAATCTTTTTGACTTTAAGCCGTTCCGCTGAAATTCAACTTCTTGGATTTGCGTTCTTCAAATTTCGAAAATTCTCCACGTTTTA